TCCGCAGGAAGTCGGTCCCCCGGGAGGCCTTCACTGCTTTCTCCAAGCCCAACTTTCACAGCCCAAAGGAGCCGAATGCACAAGCTACGTCTGGCCTTTTGAGTGGGGACCCTGACCCACGGAGACAGATAAAAGGGGGTCCCCTCCCCTCCCTGCGTGATGGCAGGGGAGTGTCCTGGAGGACCCCGGCAGCCCGTGTCGTAAGAGAAGGGCACAGGAAAGCAACGGGGCCCCTAACATCCCTGCCCCACGGGGGGGGGGAGGGGGTGCCGTTTTCACAGCGCACGTGCAAACGGCAGCCTCAAAGGAAGGTTTCCTGACAGCGTCAGCTTGAGAGCTGAAGCAGGGCACGGAATCTCCAGCTTTGGCCGGAGGGGACAAACACCATCTGGGATCGGTCTCAAATGGGGAGGGGGGGTGCACAAGTCCCCCCCCCCGGTATTTCTTCCCTTCTGCAGCCCAGCCCCAAATCAGCCCTCATTTTTGGCCAGCTCTTTGGTACGGGCCCCGTCCTCGCTCCTGAAGCTGCCTGTCCCCTTTCACTGGCCGCCTTCGGGACACTGCCCCCGAAAGGAGCTTCGACCTGGATCCGAGCACGAGAGCCACCCCCCACCCCCCCACACGGTCACCACTTGATGTTAAACCCGGCAGCGTTCGCCTTCTCCACGGGGTGGTACTGGGTGTGCAGGGCTTGCCGCGCCCGCTCCGACGTGGGGCCTCCCAGCCATTTTGTGTAGAGTGCCCTCACGCCCTCGTTCGCCTCGGGCTTCTCCGGCTCCACCGACTCGTACAGCCTCTCCACTTGGAGCAGGAGATCTTTGCCGGCTTCGCCGTCCGCTCGGAGCTGGCCGCCCCCGTTCAGGCACCCTGCGGAGCAAGAGGGGCCAGATAACAACTTGGGGGTAGTCCCTGGCCCGAAAGAGATCCGGCTGTCCTCGACCAGGGACAGGGCCTTCTCGGTCCTGGCCCCGACCTGGCGGAACTCTCTGCCAAACACCACCAGGGCCCTGCCGGACTGACTGCAATCCCGCAGGGCCTGTGAGCAGTGTTCCCTCCAAGCTGAGTCAGTGTGAGCTGGCCCACAGGTTTTTTAACCTCCAGCTCACGCAGTTGTTGTCTTAACTCAGGGAGGGAGGGGCTCCAGAGCAAACTAACGTATGCTGCAGTCAGATCGCCCGCTCACAACTCGAATGCCAGGAGCTCACAAAGTCGGATTGTCGCTCACAAGACTCCACGGCTTAGAGGGAGCGTCGCCTGTAAGGCAGAGATGATCGACCTGGCTTCTGGTTGAGGACAGCAAGGGTTCCCTTCTTGGCCGGCACCAATGCGCCCTCTAAGCTGTGGAGTCTGGTGAGCAAAAATTCAACTTTGTGAGCTCCGGGCATTAAAGTTGTGAGCGAGCGATTGGGCTGCTGCATCAATTAGTCTGCTCTGGAGTCCTCCTTTTCCTGAGCGGAGGATATATATGGATTTGGTTCATTCCTTCCGTTTCCCCACTAGTCCAATGGGACCTTTGGTTGAGGACAGCGGCAGTTTCCTTCTTGGCTGGCACCCTTCTCATTCCTCCTGCATTGATCTTTCTTTTGCCCTCTCCCCCCCCGCCTGCAAAGTAGCCGGCAGTCTGAAATCAGATCGGTTAGCATTTGCCATCTCTTTTCTTCAGATATGTGTTATTCACATTCTAATGATTTCATCTGGTTGTGTTTTAGGGATACTCCACGTCACCCAGAGCCCGGCAATAGCAGGGATCGGGCGATGAATAGATCCAATATATAATTTTTTTTTTAAGCCCCAGTGTCAGCAAGCTGCCAATGTTTTGTTTTATTTGTTCTGTGTGCGCTTGTTTGCTTTCACTTTCACATGTAGAACTGTTGATGCGCATAATTGCTTAGCCTGCCAAAACGTCTATATCTCTCAAGGCCAAAGGTGGTTGCCGCTGCTTGTTAGTTGCTGGAGGCTCTCACGAAACACCGTGAGAAAGAGATAACATATGCTGCCTAGAAGCTTTTGCTCCCAGGCCCGATGGCGTGCGCGGGAACCCCCGCAATTGGGCCGCAGTAGTTTGAATGTACTATAACATGCCATGCTCTTTGAACCCCCCTCATTCTGAACAGTGATTTTGTCCATGCACCTATAGCTTCAAATAAAGTAAAACCTTTCTGCAAGTGTGTACTTCGTTGATGCTGTGGGAAGACACCCAGGAGGGCCAAAGTGTGGCTTCGGCAACGGGTGTCCGTCCGTGCTGCTGGGCCAGTTCGCCTTCCCCATTGACCGGTCATCCAGACCTCCACAGTTTCTCTTCAGCTTTACCAACCACCTCAGGAATTTAGGCAGCATGCTCAATGCTCCCTCCGAGCTGTGGAGTCTTGTGAGCAAAAATTCTACTTTGTGAGCTGCTGGGATTAAAATTGGGGCCGAGCCGTTTGGCTGCAGCACAAATTAGTTTGCTCGTGGGCCCATCCTCTTCCTGAACCGAGACAAAAATGGGTGAGCCGGAGGCTGAAAACCTGTGAGCCAGCTCACACTAACTCAGCTTAGAGGGAACATGCTTATTATTCAGCCTTTGGGGTTTTCTGTTCTCATGACCAACGCTCCCTCTAAGCTGTGGAGGCCTGTGAGCCGAAATTCTACTTTGTGAGCGACTGGCATGAGCGTTGTGAGCGAGCGATTGGGCTGCCGCGTCAATTAGTCTGCTCCGGAACCACCCTTCCCGGGCTAAGACCAAATGTGTGAGGCTTAGAAACCGTGAGCTAGCTCACCCTAACTCGGCTTAGAGGGAACACTGCTCAGGACCAGTGTTCCGTCTCAGCTGAGTTAGTGTGAGCTAGCTCACAGTTTTTTAGCCTCCGGCTCACACATTTCTGTCTTAGCTCAGGAAGGGAGGGCTCCGGAGCAAACTAATGACTGCAGCAGCCAAATTGTTTGCTCACAACTTTAATGCCAGGGGATCACAAAGTAGAATTTTTGCTCACAAGACTCCACAGCTTAGAGGGAACACTGCTCAGGACCATCCTTTCCAGTTATTGCCACCACAGAGCCTCGCCCAAGAGTCTTCCCAGTTTCTTGTCGTTTCTTTCAGCTAGTCTTGTGGTGTATATTAAAAAAGGGGCGTTAACCCTGGCTGGCCCTGACTTTGACAGGCCAGGCTAGGCTGATCTCGGGAGCTAAGCAGGGCTGGCCCTGGTTAGTACTTGGATGGGAGGCCACCAAGGGAGTCCAGGGTTCAGTATGCAGAGGCAGGTGAGGGCAAACCACCTCCGAAAGTTGAAAACCCACTGTACGTCAGTTGCAACCGGATGGCACATAGAGCACGGACTCTAATCTGGGAGAACCGGGTTTGATTCCCCACTCCTCCACCACATGCAGCTGCTGGTGTGACCTTGGGTCAGTCACAAGTTCTCTTGGACCTGTTCTCTCAAGGGCAGTCCTTGAGAGAGCTCTCTCAGCCCCACCTACCTCACAAGGGTGTCTGTTGTGGGGAGTGGGGGGAGGAGATGGTCAGCTGCTCTGAGACTCCTTCAGGCAGTGAGGGGTGGGGGATAACTCCAAGCTCCTCTTCTTCTCTTCCAATTGTATTTTGCAAGGCTCAGTGCCGCTCTCCCAGCCCCCCCCCCAACACCCACCTGAAGGGCACGCCATGACCTCCACGTAGTGGTAGGGCGACTTCCCCCGCTTCAGTTTCTGCACCAAGTTCTGGATGTTCCGGAAGCCGTACGCCAGGGCGAAGCGCAGCAGGGTCTGGCCGTCTCGCTCCAGGGTCACCTCCTGGAAATCTTTGTTTCTGAAAGGGGGGGCAGACAGAAACACAAACAGGTGCAGTTCTTGCCTGCGGTCGCTTCTCCCTGACAGCGCTTGCCTGTGAGCTCTCTTGGCTGCGCTTTCGGGGAACATTCATGAACATTCCAACTGTTCAAGAGGAAACCAAGAACTGGAGAATGTTGACTACCGTGTTTCCCCGAAAATAAGACACTGTCTTATATTTATTTTTTCTCAAGAAGACACACTAGGGCTTATACCACAAATGTCTAGAAATCCTGCTAGGGCTTATTTTTGGGGTAGGTCTTATTTTCAGGGAAACAGGGTAGCAGCACGGTGTTATTGGGGGGAGGGGGAGCCAGTTGGGTTGTGGGGAGAAATGCCTCCTCCTTTCTCATCTACAGTTTGCACGGTTGCTGGCAGCAGTGTTCCCTCTATGCTGAGTTAGCGTGAGCTAGCTCACGGTTTTCTAGCCTCTGGCTCACACATTTTTGTCTTCGCTCAGGAAGGAGGGCTCCAGAGCAAACTAATTGGCAGCCCAGAAGGAGTCTCAGAGCAGGTTTATTTATTTATTTATTTGATTTGCTATCCCACCCTAACCCCTAAGGTTGCAATCCGTTTGCCTTCCCCTCCCCACAACAGGCACCCTGCGAGGTGGGTGGGGCTGAGAGAGCTCTTTCGAAGACTGCTCTTAAGAGAACAGCTCTGAAAGAACTTGTGACTGACCCAAGGTCACCCAGCAGCTGCATGTGGAGGAGTGGGGAATCAAAAATGGTTCTGCCAGATTAGAGCTCACGCTCCTAACCCCTTCACCAAACTGGCAGCTGCCTTTCAGGCCCCCTTTCCCAAATTCACATCAGAAATCTCTCGTCTCCGTCCTTTAGCTCAAACGGCTGTAAACACTTGTGAGCAAAGTAGGGAGTTAATTCTTTGACCCAAATGAATTGTGAACAACCGGCAGCCAGCGGGCCTGAACTAAATGACCAGGACGCAGAGACTTTCTTGCTGGGGAAGGCATCCTGGCTAGGCTACTCAAGGGGAGCTCCGGGAGGAAACCCGAACTCGGTACCTCAAGGGCTTATACTCCAGCTTCTCCACTTGAATCCCGAAGAGCTCCATTGCTGCGTGCTTGAAGATGTGTTCCAGGTAGCCCCCGGAACCGCCTCCGGCATGGCCAAAGACCCGCTCTTCGGAGCAACTGCTGAATCTAAGAGGGGGACCACAGAACAGAATCCTAGAACCACACAGAGTTGGAAGGGACCACAGAGGCCATCTAGTCTGACCCCCTGCTCAACGCAGGATCAGCCTAGAGCATCCCTGACAAGGGTTTGTCCAGCCGCTGCTTGAAGACTGCCAGGGAGGGGGAGCTCACCATCTCCCTGGGCAGCTGGTTCCACTGTTGCACAACTCTGACTGTCAAAACGTTTTCCCTAAACTCCTTCCCGTCCTTAATTTAAACCCATTCTTGCGAGTCCTCTCTTCTGCTGCCCACAGGAACAGCCCCCTGCCCTCCTCTAAGGGACAGCCCTTCAAAGACTTCAGGAGAGCCATCCTGTCTCCCCTCAAACTCCTCTTCTCCAGACTGAACATTCCCCAGTCCCTCGGCCTTTCCTCAGAGGGCTCCAGGACCCCGATCATCCTCGTCGCTCTCCTCTGCACCTGTCTGTCCACGTCCCTTTTGAAGGGAGGCCTCCGGAACTTCAAAGACTTCAGGTGCAGCCTGTCCCATGCAGTGTACAGCGGGACTATGACGTGATTTGGATGTTATGCCTCTGGTGATACACCCCAAAACGCATTAGCCTTTTCTGTCACTGCATCACACTGGCTACTCATAGTTAACTTACAGTCCACCCGTACCCCAAGAGCTCTGGCCCCGCCGGTGGACCTCCTGGTGGCCCCTGAGTTTGGGCCACTGTGTGCCACAGAGGGCTGGACTGGATGGGCCATGGGCCTGATCCAACATTGGCTGTAAAAGAAGCCTGGGGCTGTGATGCTCTGTATTGGTGTCTGGGGGCGGCCACAGTGGGAGGGTTTCTGGAGTTCTGGCCCCGCTGGTGGACCTCCTGATGGCCCCTGGGTTTTGGCCACTGTGTGACACATACAGTGTTGGACTGGATGGGCCATTGGCCTGATCCAACCCGGCTTCTTTTATGTCTGGGGCAAGGGATGCTCTGTGTCCTTGGTGCTTGGGGGGGGGGCAACAGGGGGAGCTTCTGGAGTTCTGGCCCCGCTGGTGGACCTCCTGATGGCCCCTGGGCTTTGGCCACTGTGTGACACAAGAGTGCTGGACTGGATGGGCCATTGGCCTGATCCAACACGGCTTCTCTGATGTTCTCATGTTCACTGCACGGAATGGGACGGTAGCCCTACAGGCTGACCCTGCGTGAGCGTTCAGAGGTTCAGAAACCTCTAGGGAGTGGGTACTTCCGCTCTTCTCCTTGCTGCAGACTCAAGCGTGGCCAGCGAGGGTTAAAAGCCGCCGAAGGCTTCCCTGCAGGAGGGGGGCAGGGGAATCCATGAGGTTCAAAACATGGCGTAGGAGTGGAGGGATCTGAATGCAAGGGAACACAACACCCGAGAAAAAGGCACTTACAGGCCGTCTAGTGGGGCGGGCTCCACGTCAGGAAGGGAAACCCCTTCTTGGTCCAGCAGCTTCACAACTTCTCCTGAGCAGAGAGAACAGAGGCGACAGATTAAACATAAAGCATTTGGAATAGTGTGTGCAATTCTGGTCACCACACCTCAGAAAGGATAGTATAGCTTTGAGAAAAGGGCAGAAAAGGGCAACTAGAATGATCAAAGGGTTGGAACACTTTCCCTATGAAGAAAGGTTAAAGCGCTTGGGGCTCTTTAGCTTGGAGAAACGACGGCTGAGGGGGTGACACGATCGAGGGTTACAAGATTATGCCTGGGATAGAGCAGGTGGAGAAAGAGGTACTTTGCTCCCTTTCTCACAAGACAAGAACTCGTGGGCACTCCATGAAATTGCTGAGCGGTCGGGTGAGAACGGATAACAGGAAGTCCTTCTTCACCCAAAGAGTGATTAACACATGGAACTCACTGCCACAGGAGGTGGTGGCGGATACAAGCATGGACGGCTTCAAGAGGGAACTGGATAAACATATGGAGCAGAGGTCCATCAGTGGCTATTAGCCACAAGGGACAGATATGAACTCTCGGTCTGGGGCAAGGGATGCTCTGTATTCTTGGTGTTTGGGGGGGGGCAACAGTGAGAGGGCTCCTAGTGTCCTGGCCCCACTGCTGGACCTCCTGATGGCCCCTGGTATTTCTGGCCACAGTGTGACAGTGTTGGACTAGATGGGCCACTGGCCTGATCCAAAAAAAAAAATCATACCCCCCCCCCCAATTTAAAATCCCAACTTAGAACTGCTAATAAATGCAATAAATGGGCCCCCCCCCCCAAAAAAAAAAACCTGTCTGGGAGAGATGCCGGAAGCTGGACAGGACGGCCTGGCCTTCCTCTGGGGCTGTCCCTAGCGGCTGCTCTGGCAAAGTAGTCTCCCTCCGTTATCCCCGCTTTCCTCCCTGCGTTTCTGGAAACAGCACCTTCTCATTCTGTACCTCTGGCCCTGAGGAGCATGACTGAGAAGGCAGCACGGTCAGCTGCCCTGAGCGGATGGGGCTGAAATCGACAGGTTCCTTTCTCCTTTCCCACGTGAAATGGCTGGGGACCAGGGCATGGTAATGGAGGGAGGAGAGAGAAAGGAATTCAGTCTGTGCCCCGCCTAGGACAGACTGGCCAGTGACGGTGAGAAGAACCACCACCTCCCGCTTTCTAAGAGAGTCCTGGTGAAGGGGGCGAGGGGCCGGCCACTGTCCTTCGCTAAGGGAATCGCACTCTCTGGCCCGGTCCGCTAGTCACCTGTCGTAATCACGCAGTCGACCTCCCGCGTCTGGTGCTCCTGGAAGAAGAAATCAGGGCGGGAGGCCTCCAGTTTTTTGTCGTAGCAGGGCATCACGGCCACGTGGTAGATGTGGTCGGGCCTCAAGCGCTAAGAGGAAGGGAGAGCGAGTGTTAAAGATCAATACAGAAGATCAGAACCAAGTCAGTCTAGGCCGAACATCTCTTTGTGATAGAAGAAGAGGAGGAGGAGGAGGAGGAGGAGATTGGATTTATACCCCGCCCTTCACTACCCGAAAGAGTCTCAGAGCAGCTTACAAACTCCTTTCCCTTCCCCTCCCCACAACAGACACCCTGTGAGGCAGGTGGGGCTGAGAGAGCTCCTTCAAGGACTGCTCGAGAGAACTTGTGACTGACCCAAGGTCACACCAGCGGCTGCACGTGGAGGAGTGGGGAATTAAACCTGGTTCTCCCAGATTAGAGTCCGCGCTCCTAACCACCACGCCAAACTGGCTCAAAAGAGGGGTTTTTTTTCTGCAGAACACAACAGAATGCGACCCCCCCAAATTGCTTCCAATGGAGCTTGGATTTGGTTCAAAGCATTCTGGAGATTTTCGGACCAGGGTCCATCCCAGTGTTGCAGGAAGACCGCTACAGACTGGTTTGCAGGCTCAGGCTCCAGGTCCGTTGGGACTCCCTGGCCAGAGGTCAGCCCAAATCTCAGTCCCGCGCATCGGCTTCCTCACGAAATGCAGCCTTCAGGAGTGCCTCACCTGCTGTTCGGCAAAGTGGCCCTTGACCAGAGAGCCCATCACCTGCTGGGGCGACTTGGCCGTGCTGACATAGGGGACGATGAAACTCCCGTGGGTCTTTTCGGCGTAGCAGATCCAACCTGAAAGAGCAAAGGAGGAGAAGAGAAGAGATTGGATTTATACCCCGCCCTTCACTACCCGAAGGAGTCTCAGAGCGGCTTACACTCTCCTTTCCCTTCCCCACAGCAGACACCCTGTGAGGTAGGTGGGGCCCGACGACTGCTCTTGAGAGAACATCTCTGAGAGAACTCGTGACTGACCCCAGGTCACCAGCAGGCTGCATGTGGAGGAGTGGGGAATGAAACCCGGTTCTCCCAGATTAGAGTCCGCGCTCCTAACCACTACACCAAACTGGCTCTCCGAAGCTGCCGTGTGCCCTCTGGGATGGAGTTGCAAGGAGGATCCCACAACATTTCTGGGGGAAGAAGGAAAGACCCAACAAGCGAGGAGGGAGGGGGGCAGGAGGGAGGAGCCCGGCTTGCAGGGGGAGGGGTCCACCACGTGCGTTTTGTTCACATTTCACACTCTCAGCCGTGGCCCCCTCTCAACCTCCACACCTCCCTGCCTTCCTCTCTGGCGATGAACCAAGAGCCGCTCCTACATCGAGGTGATGGGAAGGGAGGGACGATCCCAGGTTCTGGGAGCGAGGGAGGCCAAGGGCTCCCGATTTTCCTGGGTCGGCCGGGGGCCTCTCTTTCCCCCCACCCCCAACTCAGTCCACTCTCCTGTCCCCGCCCACCACCACCACGCCACTCTCACCCCACCGGTGAGCTTCACCTGGGCATGCGGCAGCCAACATGGGGAGCGCCCTCTCGTCGTCGGCTTGCCTCCGGAAGCGGCGCACAAACTCCCGCTGGCTCTCCAGTAGGCTGAAGTTCCGGGAGAAGGTCGTGTCGAAGACAAAGTCCACCCCTGGGGAAGACAGAAAAGAGTTCTGCCAAGTTGGTGATGGGTTCCGGGGGGGGGGGCGG